CGGGGCTCCCCGGGGGCGCCGGGGGGACGCGGGGACACGGGACACGCTGCCGGGGGTCCCCGGGATGCGCCGAGTTGGCGCGACGGGGCCGGCCGCGCCGCGCGTGGTGGCAGCGCTGAGCCCCGCGGCCGCGGTGGGAACCCCCCGAATCACCCCTGCAGGCCCTGCACCCCGGCGTACCCCTTCATGAGTTGCACCCTCAGGGCATTCCAGGCCATAATGCCCGAGTCTGCTTCATTACATTTATAAATAAGTCGTGTTATTCACACACATCCTCGTAACTGTGATGCTGAGATAAATTGTCCGTAGTGGGCATGGAAACTTGTGATTCGTAGTGTTCATATCTATGACATGTCAGTTATTTTCGTTTAATAAGGTAATGAATCATGATGTCAAAAACTGACAATATGAGGTTGGTTTTAGGAACTAGCAGCACGGTGTATAGTTTAATGGGTAGTAAATACATCCTAAATGAGGAGGACATTTATTTTTCTCCCTTTAAAATGTATTTATACTTCATTTCATTCAAAAATGGAAAGATAATACTGTCCCCCAAATACAGTGACACGGCAGTGCAAAAATCAAAGCACACTTAGAATATATTATTCTGCCTTTTAACCAGTAGGTTCATCATTATTAATGACTAACAGTAGCAAGACAGACTAGTACTTTAATATTCTGGATAATGTGCTCCATGAGTATTAATGCAGAGAATTCTCTGCATCTTAATTGTAAGGGGCACCCTGGTGATTTAACTTCTTTTCTTGTCCCTAGGTAGCTCTGCTAGTGTTTTGTGCCATACCTATTGCCTTCCTGCCTAGGCAGTTCTCGCCCCTTAGCCCTAAAGGAGAATGGATACAAGCCCTGTGCTTGTAGCGGGCAGCGTTTCGGAGGGGCTGCTGCCAGGGCTGGTGTATCCTTTACATCTCACTAGTGAAAACTGTTGGCTCTCCGAATGCAAAACCCGCCGGCCCTTCCTCCGCGGGAGGCGGCGCCTGGGGCCCGTGTCCCGGCGGATTGCCGCGATACCGCGGCGTGGTTCAGCGCGGTCCCTTCCAGCTTCACTGGGCCGTGTCATTTGAAGGATGTGTAGTGGTGTTCTGACCACTGAGCGCTTACGAGTGTCATGGATGCTGCGAGCATCTGATACTCCGGCTGCTGGAAGCTGCCTTTTGCTTTCCGCAGGAGGCTGCACGAGAAGTTTGGGCTTTCAGTAGACCTAGATAAGAATCAGAGTTGTGCTCGTGTCATTGCTTATGGGAGGCTCCAAATCCCACATTTATTGTTTGTAATAGGTGTGTATCTAGGTGCAGCTGATACTATTTCAGAGACCTTTGGTTTAGCAGTAATAGGTGCAAACACACCGACACCTGCTCAACTTCAGTGTGTGTTTAGTGAGGAGCCTCTGTGGACTGAGTTTCTGATGTCGCTGAAGTTGGAAGGTCCTAAGGCCCCTCTTGGAGTCTTCATCATTTTCAGGTTTCATTGGTCTGCCTAAGTGTACAAATGTCTTTGTGAACACAAAAGAAGAAACAAAAGAAACATACTGCAAACAATAGACATCTCCACACTTATTTTGCCTCTTTCCCCTTAGTTTCTCTAAACCTGTGATCTTGGCAGGGTGACAGTGAGTCAAATTTTAGTTTAAGGAAAAATATTAGCAAACACAAGTTACTAGTTTGGAAAAGGAAATCTTTGAGTAACTGGATAATTATGTCAGTGCAAAGGGGTAAAAATTGTTACACAGAGAAGGACTTTAAAACTTCATTGGTTGTTTTGCGAGCAGTTGTGAATTTGATAATTTAGAACTTCAGGAAAGGTTTATCAGAGATCCCCCCTAGAAGATCCACACCACCTGTAGCAAGAGATTAGTTCTTCCACTTAATCAGTATAATATATATTAGTGGGAGATACAAGCAGCGCAGTAGCATAGTCATCTGCTTCCTGTGTATTGAAGAAAATCACACTCAGTAGTAGAACTTGCCAATAACTTTTTTGCCTTTTTTTTTCTATCTTGCTACTTTAAAAAAGCACGTACATAGATGTACACATATTTGCAATCACTTTGGAGTACTCTTGGATTTGACCTACTTGTATTTTTTAAACAGATGAGTATGTATCAGGAGGTTTCAAGTATTGTCATTCTGATCTGAAATATAATAGTAAAGATAGCAGTGTTTTCTTTTCTAAGCTCTCTCTCTGTGTTCTGGATAACCTCTGCTTACTTTTCTGACCAGTATGAGTTTCTGCTGTTGTTGGGGTTCAAGAACTGCTGTAGTTGTTGGAAACAATTTGGACTGGGCAGTGTGAACAGGGTAATTTATAAAGTTCTTCTTACAGATGCAAATTAGTGATGTTTGGTCTGAGAGGGATCTGCTTTGACTGTTCTGCTACCTTGTCTGACTGTTGTGCTGCCTTGTCAGGACTCTGCAAAAGAGAGAGGACAGATTTTACCTGCAGGGAGAGCAGATTTTTTTTTTCCTCCTGGGAATTCCCAAGGAAAAGTAACCACTTGAACCCCCTCATTCATTTTTATAAAATTATTTTTCATGGCACAGCAGGTAAATGATCATCTTTAAAAAGTTGAGGAGTCAAATTCACAAGTTGTGAACCCTGCCATGCTTTCTTCAGCTGGGGACTTTAGCATGGGAGAGGGCTATTTCAGCTCTGTCTAACATTTAATCAGACATTTACATTTAAACTCTAAGCAAGTTAGTAATTCTTTTGACTTTGATCCCCTTTCCAGGTTTGCACTGGAACTTTCTGTTTTCTATGATTTTCACCTAAAATAGGCCTCGATGTTGCTATAAAGGTTTCTTGAGGTGTTACCAGTTTTGACATCAGAAAAAATCCACTTGTTTTCAGTACAGATTGTATTGGGCCCATTATGGTGATCCTGTAGCTCCAGCTTAAAAGATTTTGACACCCCAGAGAGAGACAGACACACACACAGATAACTCTGAATAATTTCATGTTTTCTGTAATTCGCAGGAAAAAAAATGTTTAGGTAAAAAGAATGTTCTTTTTCCAGTTGTTATTTTTGACTCTCAGGATTTTACTACAGCATTTAGTTGCTCAAAGCATCTCCACTGTATTAACAAACTTAATAAATATAACACACATAGTACTTTCACAATTTCAGGAATGTTCTGGATTAGAGCATTACTGGTTTGCTGGAAAAAATGACTATTAAGGACGAATGTGGTAGTCAGAATTATTGCTTCCACGTTGACTTGCAACAATGAAAATGGTTTAAAACTCCTAGTTTGTAATTTGTATTTGGTTTGTGCTGGTAGATAACACAGTGATAGAGAGGAGAATTACAGAGGGAAAAAAAAGGAATGCACAGGGCTTATTATCAGTGTTTTACAGGAAGATCGTTACCTTTTTACACTATCTTGTGACAATCTTCCTGTAACTCTTGGCAGGTGGTTGGGTGTGAGGTGGGAAGAGGCCGCCCGCTCCGACCTGGGAATGTTCATCATCAGTTGCAGAGCACTTGCAACTCGCACTCGGATCCATAGGGATGGGGATGCAGGATTCGAAGGTGCAGCAGCAATTAGAGGGCTCTACAGCTAAATCAGGCAGCGGAGGGCAGAGGAGAGGGAGGAAAGGGAAGCTGGGAGAAAAGGAAAAATGCAGGAAAAGCGAGGAAATGAGATACCCCAGGGGAGAGGCATCATAAATAATGGAAGCAAGGAAGTACAAATGAGGGAAAAGGGGACATAAAGAAGTACAGTTTTGAAGGGAGGAGAGAGCAAGAAAGGAAGAATACACAGGAGGAAAATTGGCAAACAAAGAAAAACAGGCAGATTAAGAAGAAGAGTGAACAAAACAAAAGAAAAAAATAGGGCAAAACCAGCTTCTCTTGTCAGCAGCAGCTGAAATATTTTAGGTTACAGAAAAGCTTTTTTGAGGCGTGGCGGGAGGAAGAGTAGAGGGGCATCCAACAACTGAGCTGAGGTGGGAAAAGGGATAGGCAGGAAATATGGAATTTAAGAGTGAAAGGGCAAGGAAGAAAAGGACAAGGCAGCAAGAGGCAAGTTCTGACCATGCTGCCTGTGGCCCGGGTTCAGCCCGTCCTGCCCTGTGACCCATCTGTGCCTTTGTGCCCTGGGAGAGGAGACCTTGGAGGGAGATGGGACACAGCAGTTCTGCTCCTGCAGAGACTGACGTGGGACATGGGGACCTCGGCGCTTTCCGTGGGGATGGGATGCGAGCAGCTTTCACGTGGCAAGAGCGTGGTTGCTTTGGAAGAAGAGGGCAAATGCAAAACTGGGAGCAGTGCAAGACCCCAGCACTTCTGTGCAAGTCTGTTTTATTACGGAGCAGATTGAAAATTTGAGAAAACTGCTTATGCGTCTTGGCAATTAAATAATTTCCTTCTTGAGTACACTGTATTGGTCTGCAAACAAATTCGGCAAACCGCAGCTCAATTTGACTTCTTTTTCTGCTAAGATTTTCATCTGAGCCCTGGGGAGGAGCGTTGGTGGTTGCAAAAAAAAATGTTTTGCTTGTTTTTCACTGAATTACATGGTCGTGTGTTGTAGCAGCTGGCCACCTGACTGCTCCTTTGTGATCCCAGAGGCAATACATGGATTTGTAAGTAATATTTATACCCATGGTTTATTGCGAGGGGGAAATATTTCAGCTCCCAAACTAATGCCTGGATAAAAGTCATACCTTGAAGAATTAGTAGCATTTGCATTAGGGCTTGGATGAAGCGAGTGTGAAGCTTCAGGTTGTGTCAGCGGGCTTGGGAGCAGGTCTTGTGCGCCTGAATTAATATCAGTAACTTGTCCCCGTGCCAGGGCTCTCTCAGCTGAGCTGTGGGATGGAGACTGACACATTAGAGGGAAGCGAACCACAGAACTGTAGTCAGTTTAATCCCAGTTAGTCTCACCTACTTGCCTTACCTGCCTTATGTGCATTCATTTGCCTGTGGAGACAGGCTGGTGCCGAAGTGCCACTGCTTGAATGTTGGAGAGGGAGGAGCGGAGCTCAGGGGACTGTCAGAGGGGACAGTCTCGTGTGAAGACGAGTGCTGGGGGTCAAGGCAGCCAGGGCCTGCTTAAAGACAGAACTGTCCTGAATGGTAAAATACCTGAGAAAGGTGAGGCCTGGCTGATAACCAGTTTTCCAGGCCAGTTATAGTGAGAAACGGAATTTATAAGGTGTGTTTTCATGGTCTCTTTTGTGTGCGGCTGTCTTCCTAACAGCTGTAACAAGAGGAGGTGCCAGGTTGTCCTGTGCAGATGTTCCCTCCCTGCAGTCTGGGTCCCCTTTCTGAGTTCTCCTCTGTAGATCCTCAACCCCTCTGAATTTATATCCCTAGGCAGCACATAGTCCCCCTTTCTCCAGTTCCTTCCCCCTCTGCTCACCTCTCTTGCTGCAGAACTTCATTTTCTCAAAAACCTCCTGCTTCGAAGCCTTCTGAACCGCAAAGTACTAATTTTTCCTTACTGTGCTCCCCTTCCCGGCCCCCTCGTTGCTTCTGTACCGTTCTGCCTGTCCTGCTCCCATCCAGCAGACCGGGTCTTGCGCAGCCGCGTCCTGCCTGAACTGCCCTCCTGCCCCGTTCCCTCTCCGAGCTGCCCGCTGGATCCCTGCTTTGCCGATGCTCCCTGTTCCCGTCCCCTCTCCGAGTTCCCCGCTGGATCTCTGCTTTGCCGATGCCCCCTGTCCCCGTCCCCTCTCCGAGCTGCCCGCTGGATCCCTGCTTTGCCGTTGCTCCCTGTTCCTGGCCTCGTTGCTCCTGCCGCAGCCGGCCAGGAGCCGAGGGCAGAGGAGCGGGAGAGGGAAACCGCGCGCCCACGGTGCCCAGTTGGCAGCCTTGACCCTTTCTCTTCAGATTCACACACACGTGCAGATGTAAGCTGCATTTCTGAGCCCTTTTTCCAAGAGCAGAATTCCTTTGCTATATTCCAACACCTCTTGTTCTAGAGGGAAGATGAAGCCCATTTAGAAAAGAAACGAATTATATGAAAACACTCAAACTTGGGGCAAAACGCCTGGGGGATGTGGACCTCCTCCTCGAACACCAGATTGAGCAGAGGTGCCTCCGTTCACTGTCTGCAACGCTCTGTGTGGCCCATTTACAGGTCCTGTGAGTCCCCGAAGGAGTGGAGGGGTCTGCCACGAGGCCAGTCCTGCGCTTGCCCCTTTGGCAACGTGGTCCCGGGCTACAGAGAGTAGAGCCTCCTAAAAGAAGGTCCCACTCGGACATGGTCCCTGCTGTCTGCATGTCCTATCTGCGGCTCTTCCGTGGATGTTCATGTCCTCCTTGGAGAGCAGAGGTGTCGGGGAGAGGGTTCTCCAGACCTTTTCTGCCTTGGGACCCTTGGGGACCTGCTGTGGCCTTGACTTGCTGTAGTTTTTTCCTCAGACAGGAGGAAATGGGAGGTTCTGAGCCTGTCATTACTGGCATCTAAATGGAGCAGAGCGGCCTCAGCGCGGGCATTTGGACCTGTGCTCAACAGGGAGGACAACCAGGGAGCCTTCTGCTGTGTTGGAGAGCAAGGGTAAAACATGAAATTAACGGAAAATACTTTTCCAGGGGAAAAATAGCATTGGTTCTCTTAAACTCATGTTACTGAAAAGACCCTCATAGTCTGTAAAACAAAACAAAAAGAAAAACAAGAAAGACCTATTTTATCTGTTTAGGAAAAAATCCTGGGAAAAGTAGCCAAGTTTTTTGTTTGTTTGTTTTTGTGTGTTTGTGTTCTGTTTGCTTTTTTTTTTTTTTTTTGCTCTTCAATCAAAGCAATTTCATACCTAAGAAACGTGATCGTTATCCTTTTGCAAAGTATATCCCGAAAAAAAAATGAAGCATAAAGGGATCTACCAGGAATCCTGAATGAAAGGTTTTTGGTTGCACTTAACTGCTCTGTAAGCAACTCTCTTTACAGGTGATTTTGTTAATATAAATATATATTAATATGCCTGGTATTATAGGGTTTAACAAGTTACCATCTAGAGAACTTAAAGAGTATGGAAGGTGAAATCCATTATTAAATACCTCCTGGCACTATTTTTCATATTTGTTGGCTTTCCGAAGTTTTCTTTAAAAATTGTCATGCCTGGTCCTGTCACTATCAACACTTTTTGCTGCATTCTTGGAAAGCAGACAATGAACTTTGAGCAAACACTATCGGCTGCCAAGATCAACAGAAACAGACTGTTTGCAGTGAAGCTGGGAGAAAATAGAAGTTGATGCCACAGTTGGTTCTTCCTGTCTTCCCTTCCCTGCTACCTCCTTTTGGGGAAAAAAAAAGACAGTGGAAAAAGTAACACATTGTGGCTTTTATGAGGCAGCAGCAAATTCCCTTTCTTCCCCCCACCTCCTTGATGAAAAGGAGACTCAGCTGCCGAGGAAGGACAGCATCTGATGCAGACACCTCTTATAGTAAGGCTCATCCAGTATATAACCAAACAAAAAAGGGAGCTATCTGAATTTTTAGAGTCTGCAATGTCAGTAAGGAGTTGGTTGGCAATTTCCATGAGAATAATGAAGATTCGACCATGTCTGGTAAACATTTCCATGTCCACTTCTGTCAAGAAAAAAAGAGACAAAGGTAGAAAAGGGGAAAACATGAAACATTTTATTCAGTTTTATTTAAAAAAAAAACTATTCAGGACCGAGGAGATTGCTTCAAGATTTTACAGAATGGCCAACAACATGGAAAACATGTTCTGCTAATAGGATGCATGACATGGACTCATGTAACTCATTTACTAACATAAGCTCTGCTGGGAAAATTCCTTTGGTTCAGATCCCTTAGGAAGCTTCGTGTGCTCACTGAGTTGTTGGTCAGGATATCTTTAGCATTTGGATCTCAGTGGTTTAGAAAGACCTGTGCTCAGATGATGTGTTTTGTAGATACCATTACCTGTTATATAAATCTGTGCCAAGGGGTATGGTAAGAGATATATGTGTGCATGGGTTCCCCAGCACAAGAGGGATGTGGAATTTCTAGAGAGAGTCCAGTATAGAGTGACAAAGATGATTAAGGGACTGGAGCATCTATTGTATGAGGAAAGACTAAGTGAGCTGGGTCTGTTTAGCCTGGAGATGAGAAGATTGAGAGGGGATCTGATTAACATGTACAAATACCTGAGGGGAGAATGGGGCCAAACTCTTCCCGGTGGTGGCCAGTGACAGGACAAGGGGTAACGGGCACAAGCTGAACCCCAGGCAGCTCCATGTCCACATGAGGAAGAACTTCTTTGGTGTGAGGGTGCCAGAGCCCTGGCACAGGCTGCCCAGAGAGGCTGTGGAGGCTCCTGCTCTGGAGATCTTCAAACCCGCCTGGATGGACCCTGTGCCCCTGCTCTGGGTGTCCCTGCTGGAGCAGGGGCTGGACTGGGTGATCTCTAGAGGTCCCTGCCAACCTCAACCGTTCTGTGTGAGGTAAGGGAAGCAGCAAGGTCGGTGACAGCAATGAGGGAACTATGATTCCTAAGAACCTTCCAGCAAAGGAAGTCGCGTGTGGCACAGTTGTGCCACAAGAAGAGCGGATCCTTGGAGCAAGGAGAAGTTCGAGTGGACAAGCTTGGCTGACTCTTCTTGATGTCATGCAGAGAATGAGAACATCTATTAAAGCCTGTCTCCAGCTATAGGAAACAGCGGTTTCACGGACACATACAGCGACCTTGGCAAACTTCCATATGGGAGAGCTACCGCGAGTCTTTCCAACAAAGTGGTACCAATCTCTTGTCAGCATGAGAAATAAGTTGCTAGTGTGATGAGACAATGATGAAAAGGACATTATTGTGTGTTCCTCCTAAAGAAACACTGCTGATAGATGTCACTCTTCAGCATGGTCGTCTGTCTGTTAGTTTGGAGGTTCTTTTCCTGAAAGGAAGGGATACCCACTTTAAATAACTTCTACATTAAAATATGTCTCTTCACCTCCAACTCTTCAGGATTTACCATTCTAAGTTAGTAACAGTAGTGAGACTGGATTCAGACAGAAAAATCACATTTTCAGGCACATCAGTCATTTCAGTATAAGGAATGGAAAATTGTTTGGTCGCTCTAGAAATACACACAGTTAAAGGAAACTTTAAAAGCTTTGCCACTGCCTTTGCGATATGTCAAGTGTGGCCTATTGGACAAAAATAAATAAGTGTTTCACTCTTAAACTTTTGGGATTTTAGATAGAGACAAGAGAACTTGTTCCTGGAGTAACCAATTGCTTTCTCTTTTTTTTTCTTATGCGTTTGTTAAATACATAAAATGCACAAAAGTGCGTTTTAAAATGCAATAAATACACTTTGGATGAAAGTCAGTGATGTTGGAGTGCCCCCAGCACACAGCATTCCCACAACTTAGTATTTAGGCTGCCAAACTTCAGTCTCTCAGTAGTCAACCACATAACATAGGAAGCAACTAAGAGACCGGCTGCGTCTCGGACACGACTGACCCTGTTTAGTGGATGCTGCTGCGTTCTGGGGTGTCTGCTGAATTTATTCTGGGAGCTGTGTTAAACGTGCTTGTAAAGAGAATGAAAAGACGAAAATTAGTAAAGCCAACGGTGACACTGTTTTTTGGGTACATTATATTACCATTCGTTAAAAGTGTATTTACATTCTATTTGGCACGTCTTCAGTGACGGTACCCTTAGAAGAGTTAGAAAAAGAAATATGTTTGTAGAGAAACACTTGTATGTTCCTTGCATTCTTGAACTATTTTGAACTTAAGAAGCAAGTAATTTCTTGGTCAGAATTTGCAGGAGACCTAGTAATCCTTAGCATGCTTTAGATCTTGGCAGAATTTATATATTTTGATTTGACAAAATTTAGATATTCTTTTAGGAATGAGTTTTGCTCTTAAGAAGAGGAATATTCCTGGTGAGTTAGAGTTCAGCAGTGCTCTGTGTCTGTAGGACTCAATTGGATTGCAAGTTTAGGTCTTATCTCTGACTGTTTTATGGGATTGGGAAGAGATTCTGGTTGTCTATTAACCTATAAGGGTTTCTGCTGCGAATTAATACAACCCACCTTTCCTATGCTTCTTGCTACTCGTTTTATTGGTCCCGCATTATATTGACCAGTATATTCTTCAGTTTCTCAAATCCTTTGACTTCATAGACTTTTTCCTACGTGTAAAATTCATCACATATTCGTGTGTTTTTGCTGAATCTGGGCTGATCTTTGGGCTGTCGTGTTGGAGCTGAAGTTTGGTGAGCCAAACATGAAGTTCGCTTTGGCTCTGCTGCCTTCATGGACAGAGCTCCGGCACGAGAGGGTTTCACGGGCTGAAAAGCCCTGGCTCGCACCGTACTCAGGTCAAAGGGACAGCCTAAAGTAAAACAGAATGATCTCCCTAGGTATTTGAGCTCATTATAGCCCATAGCTAAGAAGAAAGTGTGGTTGGGAGAGACTTCCTTTATTTTTTTCCTTGATTGCCAAAACCACCTTTGTGTCTAAGATATGTTTTTTTTTCTTCTTTCTAATACAATATGTAAAGAACTAGAGGGTTGCCATTTCCTTATTTTACTCTGTTCTCTAGGCAGAGAATGTAATTGCACCATTAAAAAAAATAAAGAGTTGGGAGAAAATCTGTTGTTTGTGGGGCTGCTTTTCTTGCCTTGCTTGGTAGAATGAGCTTCCCAGGATGACCTGCCCAGAGGAGGAAGATCTAGCAGTGGGAGATTGATGGCTATGTTAATAATAATAATAATAATAATAAAGCAATCTACAGGAAGATAATTTCTCATTAATGTGGTTTCCTTTTGTGTGAGGTTATCTGGGTTGCAGAAGAGCTTTAGGTGTAGGCGGGTGTCGGGAGTCTTGAGTTTTCCCACTGTCCTTTTTTGAAAATGATGAGAAAATCGTGCTCCGCAATTGGCCCAGTATTCAGTTATGGCACTGTTCGGAACAAAAGTGACCTGGTCCTTAGAGCTGATGTTTGTTTGGTGCTTATCTTGATTTTTGTAGGGTTTAGATGTGTTGATGGGTATTTGGCCTCTCTCTAACGAAAGCCACCTGCATGGGTTTTCAGTTACCTGGGTTTGTGCACCTGCATCGAACCTTGCAAGTTGGAAAATGTTGACCTTAAAACATACTTTGGTTTCTAGTCTTGTGAGTAGACCAAATACATTTCACAGCAGATGAGGTGAGTTTATCTTATCTTATCTTCGTGAGTTTATCTTAGCTTTTGGCTGTGTCATCAGCCTCCCTGTTTGTAGTTAGGGTTATTTTAGCCTTTCCTGACTGGCAGCTGCTACTCTCAGTTGAATACAGGATGATGAGAGTAGGAGGGATACTGTGAACCACAGTGTAACTGAGTAAATGTATTACATGGTGAAATAAGGGCTAGGAAAAGAGTGGTTCAGCTAGTGTGAAGTGTTTCAGAAGGTAATCTTGAGCTCTCTACATAGCAAACACACAATCATGCAAAAAGGGGAGAAACTTTCTCTTGCTAAGATATTACACTTTTTTTTGAGAAAAAACAACCTAGAAATTATCAGTTAGTTGAGAGTTCCCTGTACTGTTGATGGAAATTATGCTGGTTATTACATCCATATTAGATTTTTATTAAGGGCTTCTGTTACTTCCCATTTTAAGCATTTATAGACACATATGTATATAAATGGTATTTTTAACCATTCCTGCATAGTCATGTCACTCCCTCTGAAAATATAGTAGATTTGCAGAATGTTTAGCTGCTAGTTGCAACTGCCAAAGTCTAGAAACGTGGAGTCACATCTGACATTTCATTCTTCACCTTAACTGTTGAGCCTTGGCCATTCATTGGTTTTTCACAGTGCTTTGGAGTTAGAAGGGAGTTTCACAGATGAAAGATGAAAATGAAAATAAACTCCTTTATCAACTAAACCTTGCAAGGGCATTCCGAATTTTGCCATGCGCGGGGACTTGATTGTGATATAACATGCAGCACAAGAGGGTTGGAATAAACAATTTATTCTCCCTTGTTAGGGATGGCCATGCATAGCTGACTTATGGCTCCGGTCTGCTCTGCCACTTGTTACGTGTGCACTCATCCCTAGCCCCCAAACATACCCCAAATAGCTTGTCATTCTCCCGCGTTGCAGTTTTTGTTGAACGCTCTCTCATTAAGAACTTTCTGGGGTGTTTGAACGTTTCAGGACACGGGCAGCTTTCTGCAGAGCCCGGTTTTGCTGGGCTCATCAGCGCTCGCAGCGACCGGGACGCGGCTCCCGGTACCGCGTTCGGGAAGAGTCTGCTGGGGGTTCATCCTGTGCAAGCGTCTGGGGAGGGGTATGAAGAACGGAGCATTCGTGCATCTCCAACCCTCCTTTCCCAGTGTTTTTTGGTGCCCCGGGAATGGCGCTCCCACCGCTGGAGTGCATTCCTGAGGCTGGAGCACCCGGCAGAGGTTTTGCCCTGCCCCACACACCTCGTACCAAGGACACACGGAGTGCTGCGGTGCTGTTACTTTCAGTGTGAAAATACTGCTTTTTGGGCAAGGTGCTTTCCATTAGATGTGTGCTCGCCCCGCATGTTTTCCAGGCTGTCACCGTCGTGCTTAGCAGGGGCCCTTTGACTGCAGACCTTTGTTTCAGTGTTATCACACTCCAGCCCAGTGTAACTGATGAAAGTTCAATTATATGTGAAGTGACTATTAAAGCATCAGGAGTCATCCGGGGGGTCCGGGGCCTCCCCTGCTCTTTTCGCTTCCAATCGTGCTAAATCCCTTAATGTTGCGAAGGAATCGTCCATTCATCAGGTAGAGTGTTGGAGGCCAGGGTGCAGAGAGCCGCTTTTATTGCATATGAGACATTGCAGCCCTGCTCTTAAGAAGTGCCAGGCAGATTGGGAATCACGGTCACGGTTAATAGCAGCGAATTGCCAGCTCTTGCTGGGTGGGTAGTCACTCCTTTCACTGGTTGCCCCCCGGGGGAGAAGGTAGAAAAACAGAGGGAGGGAATTAGAGTGACTTTGCACAGCTGAGCAGGTTCCTGCCGCTGGATCGGTGGCAGCCGTTGGCAGGGCACCACTCTGGGGAGCTCGCGGCAGCGGCTCCGGCGTCCGGCCGAATGAACCCAACGGGAGCGCCTGGAAGTGGCGCTGAACCCCGGCCGGCCGCCCGGCGCTGCTAATTGTACCCGACTCCGCAGCTCAAGTTCAGCGTGTGATTAAAGAGTTGGCTCACAAACTCTCTGCATAACCTTAATTTTTTCAAGGTTCTTTGAGTGTAGAATGGCTTATAATAATGATTTTGACTAATACGATTTTTGACATGCAACTTTAATGCTTAACCTTAGTACAACTCCAGAGCATTTCATGTGTATTCAGCTGTAAAGAGTGATGATTTAAAGGGATAATATAAGAAAAAGGTCGTTCTAGAATGAACCTCTAACAAATTGCATAAAGGGAGCTTATTATTCCATGAGTAGAGAGATATGCAGCTTTTCTGATCATTTTTCTGCTTGGTTCAAAAAATTGTTGAGACATGATTGGGGAAAGAAACACAAAAAATGAAATAGAAAACTGCAAGCAGGGAACATTCTTTTGATGGTTATGATTTTGTTGCCACTAAAAATACTCTTCAGTAATGTGGTTGTTCATCTTTCCTCTTGTTTTGGGTGAAGAATTCGTTCCAATAAGAAAATGCTGTTACTGGTTGGAGGATTGCCTCCCGGACCTGACCGGCTACCCAGCAATTTGGTTCAGTATTATGATGATGAAAAGAAGACGTGGAAAATACTGACAAGTAAGTGGTTTGTTTTTGTACAGTTGTCTTGATGAATTTAAAAACATGGTTAATCAAATTAGACACTTTATTGATTTGTTTCTCTTCAGAGGTTTGTTTATGTATCACAAGGGGCTTCACAATGGAGCAATAAATTGAGATTGCAAGAGATGCTAATTTTATAATAGGATAGGCCTAAATTAACACTGGCTTAAAATCATTCCAGCAAGTTTTTTTAAAGTAAACTTGTAAGTCTTTTACAGTGTGACATGAATACATGCATATTGATGTATATATGAATATAATCTACTTTAAAACCAATGCTCGAGGCAGTTTTCTCAGTCAGATCCCTAAGCCACAGGGCTTGGGTTACACCTTTGCTTCTCTTTTGCATTTTCATTTCCTTCTTCCAGCTTTATCTGTTGTCCATAATCATTAAGGAAAGGTTTCCTCTGCGCTCCCCTGCATGCGTTGCTGACACAGGCATTGGTGGGATGCATCAGCCACAGCAAGCAGTGCATGGAGGCTTCTCTTGCAAAATTATTTCCCACTTTCTTCTAAGGGTTGATTGTGTTTTAGAGTAAGCATTTTGCCTCGAGCCCTGAGATTTGGAATTATTGTTATATCGGTTACGATTCCCGGGCTAGCTTGGGCATGGAATCAAGCTGCAGCCTCCTGAGCACAGCAGCCTGTGTGTGCATTGGTCCCCTTGTGGCTAAACTGGCTGCACTGGTCAATAAAACTAAATTTTAACTGTCAAAATTGCCCAAAGCAGTATAGATAAAATAATAAATGAGCAATTCTGATCCATAAATCAAAGCCATACTTCTAAAACTGGGCAACTGGTAAAACCTGGATTTCCTAATAGACTGACCTTTTTTTTTTTCCCAATAAAATACCTTTTACAGAATTCTGTTCTTCATATGTTATTCAAAGCCCTTTAGTGGGATGCACCCAAGCTAATATTATATTCACAGCTTAGGATGACTGCTAAAAGACTGCTGTGAGGCAGGACTTGAAATAAACTGCTGCAGCATAAAGACCATGTAGGTGTATGTACCTAATTAATATTTGTGGCATTGGGTAAGACTGGCAGTTTTGAAAGGTCTTATAAACTGTACGTTTGAAAAGCTGATAACATCCATGCTAGGAGACTCATTACATGATGTTTTTCAGCATAAGAAAATAGCACAACATTCTCCTCCAAATGCTACTTCTAAGCACATTCTAAAGATGATAAGTCAGTAAGAAATCGATAATATTATGTAACACAGGAGCATTCTGTTTTTTTGTTTGTTTGTTTTCTGTTTTTAATTTGTTATGTATAATAATACCATGACAGGTAAGGGAACTAGAACTCTTGCTTTAAGACCTGAGCCCTCCACTGAATTAAAGAAATAACTTTATTCTGAATTACTTACACCTGTGGATACATAGTCCCTTCCAACCTTAACGATTCTATGATTCTATAGGTTTTTGTAAGAATTGCATTTATTCAGTTCCTGGTTACTTTCCTTGTGAAATTATCTCGGAATTTGTGGGAAACTAAATTTGGTTTCCTGAGTGCCTAAATGTTGTGGTTAAAAGTGTAGACCTACCGAACTCACAGCTAATACTTGAACAACAGCACCATCTTGTATGTTGTTGCTTCAGATGTTGGGAAATGTTTGTGAATACTTTTAGCTAATTTTATGAAAAGAATGCAGTCTTTTCTGTCTCGAGTGGAACAAATAGTAAACAAGCCCTCTTGTTTCCTTCTGGCTAATGCACGTTACCTTCTGTGCTGTGATTAAAAGATAATGCGTATGTTCAAGCCCTTGATTGCTGGCACTGGAAGTCCTGAAAGTCCCGAAAGTCCCTGGATCTGTCCCCAGTGTTGACTAAGATGACAAGTGACAAATACCCAGCCTTGTCGTGACACATGAGTGTTCTTGGTCTCTAAGAGCGGATCTGCTCTTGTGGCTGCTGCTCCTCCGAGGGGAACGTGTGTCTTTGCACGCTGGAACAGGTCTGATTTTGTGGAAAATCCTATTCCTCCTTACCAAACGGTAACCGTGTGGCACTGGGGACAAGCTGCAGTCGTATTTGCATCTTGTTCTTTCCATAAAACATCAGGATGGCTGTACAGCATAGGAGTGCCTGGGCGTAAGCATCAGAAGAGTTGGATTTGAGTGGTTTTAGAGAAGACCATCAACTAAATACTCTATGTCATGGTGACTGCATGCTGCAGGCATGATACTGTGTCAATGTAGTATAACATTTAGTTGGTATGTGGGAATTGAAGGACGTTATACTTTTTTGTTAGGAAAAGCAGTAATTGCTATTTTAAATAATTTTATTTTAACTCTATTATTTTTAATAATTATTTTTCTCCCTTTATTCTTTTACTCCTGCCTCTTTCCCATTCCACAGTTTTGGAAAATAATTGGCCTATTTATTCTTATTCTAACCCTAGAATGGGAATGAAGGAGGGAGCGTTTTTTATCTATGTGCTTCGTTCCCTCTTGCAGCCTTTGCTTGGACACTGCTGCCCGTCCTGGAGCTGCAGAGCACCCACAGCCACCAGTGTACAGGAGGAGCTGCTGGTTTGCTCCCTAGTGAAAAGGGACAGAGCAAAAGCCGTGTCCTGCTCGTGAGCTTGTGTGACAAGGGGAATTTCAGTCCTTGTAGCCTGGTTCTTCAGGCTTAGTTCCCGCTCCGTGGCGAGATGTTTTGGCAGATGATACTGCCCACCTCTCTCTGCCTGGCTACCCAGAGCACCAAACGTATCACTACTAGTGGGAGTAATTTTAAAGGTATCAGGAGAACAACTTGCCTTGTTCATAGATCCAGAAGAGGAGGGGAGGCACGCACCCATTTCCAATTTTTTAATGTCATCATCTATAGGCAAGAATGCTATGGCTCAAGGGATCGGTAGATTTTTCACAGTCTCGTATTACAGTGTATTTTTCCTGGCTGGTATTTTTCATAGAGTTCTTTTTTTCTGTGTTGGCAACCAAGAGTACAGACAGACTGAAGGAAAAGGGGGAAAGAAAAGGGAAGGAAACATGGCACATGAGAAGCATTTCCTGCCACCTGATTATACTTGGTGGGCCCAGTCCTGATGTGACATTCCTAAGGTGCACGCAGCTCTGCAGTTTGAAACATTTCTTACGGCACAGTCGGGCCTGAGCAAAGTAGAAAGTTTAATAGACTGCATGGCAAAATACAGTGAACAAGTCTTTAGTGAGCGGTGTCTTCTGAGCCCTGCTCACAAACACGCGTTCGTTTCTAGTCGGGTGCCCTCCATGTCACGTTGCAGCAAGAGGCCGCGGCTGCTGGTGGGACAGACCCTGCGGACAGCCAAACTCCTCTGCTCGGGGACTCCCCTGTTCCCTGCTGTGTGCAGCTGGATACAGAGCAGGGCTCCCTGTGCCACCACCTCGCGCCTCCTCAGTGAGAACCACTTGCCCCCACATCTGTTTTAACTCTTTTAGCTGCCCTCCTCCCAGGGGCCTTTGCTGAATCCCAGAGCTCCTCTCGCTTGGTCATTTTAATTTGCACCGCTTAAGATTAATTGAACTTTTAAAGAGTGAAACAATGTTACGTTTGTTGGAATTATTCTGTAATAATTGCAAGTTCCAAAGACCGGAGCCTCTAAAGATTTTTTTTGTGTATGTGTTCAGAATTGCATAGCTCTCCCAAAAACCCTACTGCTAAGGCAATGATGTATTACTTTCACTTTCATTATATGTTTTTAATCAGAGCGTGACTTCACACTAGACAAAGCGATGCTTTATGCATGGTCTCCCTTGTTTTTTGCTAAAATCTTTTGACATGATTAATTTTACTTTAATGCTTTTGTCTTCTTGTAATGGTAAGGATGATGGGTATAAAGCAGGGCAAAAAATACATGCTTTTCTGTCATAATGCCTCTGAGCATTTAAAAAGTATATTAAATGAAAGAAAAAAATATCACAAGAGACTGATCCAACTGGAATTAAATTTCTTGCTACCTGAACAGAGAATGCAAGAAATAAATAAAAACGATGCAGTCGTTTTAGTTTTTTTTAATATATATTTCTCCTATAGCAATGTATTCATCTGTCTGATCAGAAGTGACGACTAGGAGAGAAATTACCTCTTAGAGATATCTAGGTGTACGGTGACTCCCCCATGCAGTGCAGGGCTCTTTTTTCACAAAGGGATAAAGTATTAGGAAATGTCACTAAACACGTAGGTGGCACGTTCCACTCCTTTTAAGTTGCAGCAGGTTTTTCTTTCTTATTGGCACTTTATTTTTCAATAACACACTAATTGTACCATTCCTCAAGCTCCCTAGATAACACACCATCTCCATGAACTGTGGAGAGCATTCAGTGAGCATCAAAAATAAAGTCAGATACTTGTGGGGGCAATAATGCCTTTACGCTTAGGTATTGCAGTAACTAATGTAAAAGGCACCGTCTTTGTTCAATAAAGGTGTAGCACGGGTGACATATTGGGTTAGGAAAGGGAAAACGTCCAGAAGTTCATCAGGCTGAAAGGTTTTGCTAGGAAACCGGTATCGTTCTCCTCACTTGGAAGGTTGGCTGGGGAAATGTGTTTTCATTTGCACATGAGGCCACCTCCGCGCTGGGAAGTCTCATCTGAACGCAACATTTTTGTGCTTCGGCTGTTTGGCTTTCTGAGTTGCCCTTGGGTCCCCGCTCCGGCCGGCGGCCCGTACAGCGCTCAGGAACAGCACGGGGAATGTCAGCAAGCCCTGGGCCTGCTTGAGGCCCAGAATCCCTGTGAGCTGCACGAGCTTCCCCAGAGGAAGGCACCTGGAAGCTGGGCAAAATATTGGCTTCCCTCGTAGCCATCAGCAGAGCAGCGGGGTCACTCCGCCTCCCAGCCACCACCAGTGTTTTTCCTTTGGTTTGGAATTTCCTGGAGTTTCTTCATCCTTCATCTGTTTCCAAGAGCTCTGTCTAGTTTTCTCTGATACCTCTTTAGTATTTTCTTTTCCGAGTTGGTTACTTACATGACAGGTAGCATGT